TATAATACCTTACTTTGTCTTCTCAAGCTACCCTTTGTAATCTTCCATTCAGCTCTTTTACTTCATCATTTCTTCCTTTTGCTTTAGCTACTTGACATTCAAGAGCAAGTTTCAGAGTCTCTTCTGACATCCTTTTTTTTTTTCTTTCTTTCCTGTCTTTTTAATGACCTCTTGCTTTCTTTGTGTATGATGTCCTTGATGTCATTCCACAACTCGTCTGATCTTCGGTCATTAGTGTTCAATGCGTGAAATCTCTTCTTGAGATGGTCTCTAAATTCAGGTGGGATATACTCAAGGTTGTACTTTTGCTCTTGTGGACTTGTTCTAATTTTCTTCAGTTTCAACTTGAACTTACATACGAGCAATTGATGGTTTATTCTGCAGTCGGCTCCTGGCCTTGTTCTGACTGATGATATTGAGCTTTTCCATTGTCTCTTTCCACAGATGTAGTTGATCTGATTCCCATATATTCCATCTGGTGAGGTCCATGTGTTTAATCGCCGTTTATGTTATTGAAAAAAGGTATTTGCAGTGAAGAAGTCATTGGTCTTGCAAAATTCTATCATGCGATCTCCAGCATCATTTCTATCACCAAGGCCATATTTTCCAACTACCAATCCCCTTGGTGGGCCACAATTATCTTATTTGCACATCTCCACCCAATTACCTGGGTGGGAGTTACAAGACATGGTGAGAAAGGCCATACTAAGTGTCTTAGTTATCTAGTGCTGCTATAACAGAAATATCACAAATGGGTGGCTTTAACAAAGAACATTTTATTTTTTCACAGTCTAGTAGGCTAGAAGTCCAAATTCAGGGCATCAGCTCCAGGGAAAGCCTTTCTGTCTCTGTTGGCTCTGGAGGAAGGTCCTTCTCATCAGTCTTCCTCTGGACTCAGAGCTTCTCCACACAGGAACCCTGGGTCCAAGTGACACGCTCTGCTCCTGGTGCTGCTTTCTTGGTGGTATGAGGTCCTCCTTCTCTGCTCACTTCCCTCTCCTTTTATCTCTTGTAAGATAAAAGGTAGTGCAGGCCACACCCCAGGGAAACTCCCTTTACATTGGATCAGGGATATGACCTTAGTAAGGATGTTACAATCCCACCCTAATCCTCTTTAACATAATCTAATCTTGCCTCATTAACCACAGGCAGAGATTAGGATTTACAACACATAGGTAAATTACAATCACAAAATGGAGGACAACCACACAGTACTGGGAATCATGGCTTAACCAAGTTGACACGTATTTTTGGGGAACACAATTCAATCCATGACACTAAGAAATTCATCACATCACACCTATCCTATATAAATATTTAAAAATCTGAGATACCCTGATGTATCCAAGTCCTCCAGCTGCCCAGAGTCATCCCCTCCTTTAATATCCAAATGAAAAACTTGTGCCCTCACCCTGCTTCTGACTGCACAGAGAAACAGTCCTCTTCTAGATATTTCTGAGAATTTTGCAGGCTTACTTATACACTCTTGCTTCCATGTCCTGCCTGATTGCCCTCATCCCCTCTGGCGATTCCATTTCCTCCTGCCCTGCTGCTTCCATTTCCTGGGGGGGGGGGGGGCTCTGAGACAAACATGAAGGAAGCCCTCATGATCCTTCATTTCCGAAGACAAGCACTCACTCAAGGAGGGTGTAACAGGCCTTTTCTGGAGGTTGAAGTAGGGCCATTACAGTGAAAGACAGGAAACAACTAAACCCAAGGATTGGCTGCTGTAGCATCTTTTAAATTTTGTCAGCCTTTTCCTCATTCCAGTGTCTCTCTTACTAGCCACCTCACTCTAGGGGCCTGTCCGGACATCACTTTGTGGGGTCTGCTCTCTCCCTTCAAAACCTTTCCTCTGAATGAAGAACACCAAAGACACAAGGAAAGTATTAGCCCAAGAGACAGAAAGGGCCACATAAACCACAGACTTCATCAGCCTGAGACCAGAAGAACTAGATGGTGCCTGGCTGCCACCAGTGACCACCCTAACAGGGAACACAAGAGAGAGTCCCGGATGGAGCAGGAGAAAGGTGGGGTGCAGAACTCAAATTGTAGTAAGAAGACTAGATTTAATGGTCTGACTGAGACTGGAGGAACCCCAGAAAGCATGAACCCTGGATTCTCTATCAGCCCAGAACTAAAACAATTTCCGAGGCCAACTCTTCTTACAAGGTTTGGACTGGACTGTGGGACATAAAGTGACACTCGTGAGGAGTGTGCCTCTTAGCTCAAGTAGATACAAGAGACTAAATGGGCAGCTTCTGTCCGGAGGTGACATGGGAAGGCAGAGAGGGTTAGGAGCTAGTTGAATGGACATGGGGAATCGGGTAGAAAGGAGGAGTGTGCTGTCACAGTATAGGGAGAGCAATTAGGGTCACATAACAATGTATAAATTTTTGTATGGGAAAAAATTTAAATAAAAACCTCTCCTCTTATCCCCTCCCTTCCCTTGTCCACCCCATACCTCCCGTCTCCCCATTCCAAACTCCACCTGGTCCCTGCCTTTTATAACAAAGAGACAGTGCATGCCATCTCCTAAACCTGCTCTGGCAACAGCTTTGAAATTAGAGTTGTCTTTAAAGGATTCTCTGCTCAGTTCTTGGGTGAGCTCAAGTCAGTACTGGGCTTCCCTGCCCCAATCAGGAGCCCCTCTAGGGGGAAGGGGCTGGAGTTGGACAGATCAGGGGTATCAACAGTTCCCCTCCCCACTCTACTCCTGAAGTTCATAACTATAAATCAAAATACCCATTTGTGCTGAGCAAGTGTTACCACCAAGGTGACACAGGGTCCCTGGAGTGGGGCCTAGCAATGGGATGACACTGACAGCCCATCTGGAGCTAATGTCATCCTCATGCACCACGTTGTCCAGATCAAGAAGCCAAGGCTCAGGGAAGTTAAGTGACTTGTTCAAGGGGCACTCCCACAATGACCACCTCTCCAAGGGAGAGAAGGCCCATCTGAGGGTGAACAGATTGGCAATTCTGCCACACTGTCCCCAGGAAGCCACTGAAGGCAACCTTCAGAGCTAGAAGGAGAAGAAAGAAAGATCCATATCTGGAGCAAAGACAGCCCTTAACAGCAGGGAAGCAGGCCACCAGAGAGGTGGGGGTCCAGCGGCCAGGAGTAGCTTCCTTGGGTCCCATCGATACATCCCTGATTCTTCTCCCCAAAAAGCCAGGCTTCAGGGGACTAGGGTGGGGGAATGTGACAGAGCTCTGGAAGAGGGGGCCTGATTCCTGCAAAGACAGTTTGGCAGAGACCCCCTGGAAGCCCCTGGCTGCTGATGTGACACATGAAAGCCAGCGTCGAGACAGTGCAGTGGCAGGGAGCAGCGGGGGTGTGCCTGGGAAGGGCTGAGCTCAGAGTCGAAGGCATATCTCCTGCCGAGCAGGCTGCGGGGGGTGCTGCTCCTCACTTGGGCCTGTCACCTTTCAACCCCCATGTTCTTTGACTGGCTCGCACCCCCCTGCATCCCTGGTACCTGTTTGAATGCTGCCTTCTGAATGGATATTGTTAGGGAGAGGAGATGAATCCAAGAAAACCACCTCAGGATGGAAACCACCTCTGCCCTGCTATGGAGAGGACGGGAATGGATGGGAGGAGGGTGGCAGAGGGAAGGGGCCAGGCTGTTTCCTGTCCACCCCCCTTCCTTTGTTGTCCAGGGGAAGTTTCCTGGATACCTGGTGCTTGGGTTTGCTTAAGCTAGGTGTTCTACAAGTGTGGTCTCAGGACCAGCAGCAGCGGTATCACCTAGGAACTTGTTAGAAATGCAGATTTTCAGTCTCATCCCAGACCTACAGAATCTGAAACCCTGGGAATGGACCTAGCACTTTGCTTTAACAAGCCCTCCTGGGATTCTGATGCACACTAAAGTTTGAGAATGGCTGATTTAAGCAAGAAATGGGGGCAGGGGAGGTAATACTATAAGGACATAGAGGTGTATCAGGAGATGCTGGAACCAGGGAATGGACACTGGCTAGATTCCCTCTTGTCTGGTCTTCTCTTTTCCCTGTGTGTCTGCTGCATAATTCCTTAATTCTCTCTTCCTCTCCTTCTGGCTCTGGCATTTTGCTGTCCACTTAGTAGAAACCATGATGCGCCCACAGCTTTCAAGTGGACACATTACAAGTCATGTTCCCCTCCCTCATCCCCTTGCTGTCTGCTTTGTCTTCCTCTTGCAATTCCACATTCCTGGAAAAGCAGTTCTGGTGCTAAGAGACCTGGTTTGTCTCTCTCCCTTTGTCGTGGCTTCACTGTATTACATTCTCCTCGTGCCTACACGGTGATTGCTGCAGCTCCAGCTCTTACCGTCATCAGCTTGAGATCTGATTTCAGGCTACCAAAGTGAGGTCACTGAAGGTAAAGTTGGGAAGAGCTGCTCATGATTGGCTCTCACGAGCCTGTGGGAGCCTGCTCCCACACACCACTGTCTGGGAGTACAAAGATGAGTCCCTTTCCTCAAGAAACTTGCCGCTTAGCTGGGGAGATGGATACGTGGACAGGCCTTTGTAATGCAGTATGCTTAGTGCAATACTAGTGTTTGACATCAAGGATTATGGGAGTACAGGGAGCAGTCTGGGAGGGCCAGGGAGTGTTCCTGCAGGCAGCGGTGCTTGGGGCTGAGGCTCAGCAGGAACCCTGAGGCTATTCTGGGGAAGGCAGGGAGAGCATTCTGGGCAGGGGCACAGGATAAGCAAAAACATGGAGATAGGAAAAGGTTTTGAGGATGTGAGCATGGGTGGTGGGGGTAGGCCATCAAAGAGGTGGTTGGTGGAGGACAAAGCTCAAAGGAAGTGAGTCTGGAGTCAGGATGGAGGCAGATGGTGGTCCTGGGATTTATAGAGGCCACAGGAGGTTTAATCAGGGGCTGGGGAAACTTTCTGTTAAGCCAGCTGAGTCCTTTTAGGTCTCTGAGCCTACATACCTGCCAGTTGTATGTAGTTCTGCATTCCAAGGTGCAAATTCAGACCCTCATTTTGTGTGTGTGTGGTTTCTTTTAGATAGTTCCCAGCAGGCTGCTGGTCAGACTGATTCAGGAACGTCTGAATGATGAAGAATGCATCAGGCGGGTAAGAACCCCTGCATGGGGCCAGCTTGGGGGCTCCCAGAGAGATGGGGCTCCATTAACAGAACAAACGGTAGGGTGAGGATACATGTGTTAATCTTCTAGACCAGACATGGTTAAAGATATACAAGAAAAGCTTTCTTGGCAGAGAGGGATAAAAACAGACAGACAGGAACTTGGTGAAGATCAGCCCGTGGACCCTGGATTTCACCTTTGATGAAGGAAAAATACCAATGTGGAATCTGCCATACCCATCAGGGTTCTGGCAGAAAAGAGCTGGCCCACTCCAGTGGGTCACAGGAAAAAGTTTAGTGAAAGGACATTTACAGAAGTGTAGGCAGAATTAAGGCAACCAACAAGCAGTGGTGAAGCGCCCAGGAACTAACAGCAGCAGAGAGCTGTTACACCCCCAGGACCCGAAAGGGCAGGGGAGGGAGTGGACTAGAACCGTGGAGATCCCAGGGACCAGGCTGCCATAGGTAAGTGGAGAGGCAGAGAGAGAATTGGGGGTACCCTAAACTTTCCCCTCCCATCCTTTGATCTGCCAATGCCCCCTTTGGCCAGACCCAAGGAAGCCAGAGAGCTGGGTCCAGGTGAAACAGTCCATTGAGGTCAGCCTGCTGGGGTCTGGAGGAGGGTGGAGAAGGGCTTTACATGCACTGACTCATTTGATCCTCACAGGAGCCTTATTCAGTCAGCACTGTTACTTCCCCATTTTATGGATGAGAAAACTGAGGGTTGAGTGTGTAATTTGCAAATATTTTCTCCCACTCTGTAGCATGTCTTTTCATTCTCTTAACAGTATCTTTTATAGAGCAAAAGTTGTTCATTTCAATGAACTCCAGATTATCTTTTTTTTTTTCCTTTTATGGTTCATGCTTTTGGTGTCATGTCTAAGAACTCTTTGTCAAACTCCAGATCATGAAGATTTTTTCCTGTTTTCTTCCAAAAGTTTTATAGTTTTATATTTTACGTTAAATCTATGAGTTAATTTTTGCATAAGGTGTGAGGTTTAGGTCGAGGTACATTTGTTTGCATTTTCTGCATCAGTTGGTATATTTGTTTTTTTAATTCTTTAGACTGTATTGGATTACATTGGTGAATTTTCAAATATTGAACTAGCTTTGAATTCCCAGGATAAACCCCACTTGGTTGAAATGTTATTCTTTTTATATATTCATGGATTCAATTTGCAATTTGAGGATTTTTGCATGTATGTTCATGAGGGACATTGGTGTTTAGTTTTCTTTTTTTGTACTTTATGATTTTGGCATCAGGGTAATGCTGGCCTCATAAAGTAAGTTGAGAAGTGTTCCTTCTTTTATTTTCTAGAAGAGATTGTATAGAATTGGTATTATTGGTAGATGTCACCAGTGTTCTAGGCATAGAGATGTCTTTCTTGAGTTTTTAAACTACAAATTCGATTTCTTTTTTTATTGTTGTTGTTTAAATGAAGTTTACATTTCAAGTTAGTCTCCCATACAAAAATTTATACATACATTGTTATGTGACCCTAATTGCTGTCCCCATATTGCGACAGCACACTCTTCCTTTCCACCCGATTCCCCATGTCCATTCAACCAGCTCCTAACCCTCTCTGCCTTCCCATCTCACCTCCGGACAGAAGCTGCCCCTTCAGTCTCTCGTATCTACTTGAGCTAAGAGACACACTCCTCATGAATATCACTTTACGTCCCACAGTCCAGTCCAATCCCTGTATGAAGAGTTGGCCTCAGAAACTGTTTTAGTTCTGGGCTGATAGAGAATCTGGGGGCTGTGATTTCTGGGGTTCTTCCAGTCTCATTGAGACCATTAAGTCTGGTCTTCTTACTAGAATTTGAGTTCTGCACCGCACCGTTCTCCTGCTCCATCAGGGACTCTCTGCTGTGTTCCCTGTCGGGGAGGTCATTGGTGGTAGCCGGGCACCATCTAGTTCTTCTAGTCTCAGGCTGATGAAGTCTGTGGTTTATGTGGCCCTTTCTGTTTCTTGGACTAATACTTTCCTTGTGACTTTGATGTTCTTCATTCTCCTTTACTCCAGGTGGTTGGGACAAACTGATGCATCTTAGAGGGCCGCTTGCAAGCTTTTAAGACCCCAGATGCCACTTACAAAGTAGTATGCAGAACATTTTCTTAATAAGCTTTGTTATACCAGTTGACCTAGATGTCCCCTGAAAGCATGGTCCCCAGATTCCTACCCCTGCTACTCTGTCTCTCAAAGTGTTTGATTGTATTCAGGAAACTTCTTAGCTTTGGTTTAGTCCAGTTGTGCTGACTTCCCCTGTAGTGTGTGCTGTCCTTGCCTTCACCTAAGATAATTCTTATCTATCATCTCGTTAGTAAATAACCCTCACCATCCTTTTCTTGAGTTCTTATAATAATGGTCTTATACAATATTTGTCCTTCTGTGACTGACTAAATTCACTCAGCATAATGAGTTCCAGCTTCCTCCATGTTATAAGATGTTTCACGGATTCACGTTGTTTTTTATTGTTACATGGTATTCCATTGTGTGGCTATACCATAATTTGTTTATCCATTCGTCCATTGATGGGCATCTAGGTTGTTTCCATCTTTTTGCTATTGTGAACAGTGCTGCAGTGAACATGGGTGTGCATATATCTATTTGTGTGACAGCTCTTATTTCTCTAGGATATATTCTAGGGACCAGGATAGCTGGATCGTATGGTACTTCTATTTCTAGTTTTTTAAGGAAATGCCAAATCAGTTTCCAAAGTGGTTGTACCATTTTACATTCCCACTAACAGTGTATAAGTGTTCCAGTCTCTCCACAACCTTTCCAGCATTTATTCCATTTTAGTTTATTTCTTATGTTTTTCACTATATCTCTTTGCTTTCTTGTTTTTTGTTTTGTTTGTTGTTAGTGGATACTCTAGTGATTATAGTGTACATACTTAACTTTTCACGGTCTATCTAGAGTAAAAGGATGGGGAAAGTTATACCATGCATACTTTGATTAGTGTATGCATCGTATAACTTTCCCCATCCTATTACTTTTAATCTACCTGTATCATTATATTTGAAGTGAGTTTATTGTAGAAAGCATGTGGTTGGGTATTTTCTTAAAAAAGTCTATTCTGACAATATCTATGTTTTAGTTGGCATCTTGAGACTATTTGTATTTAATGTAATTATTAACATGTTTGGGTTTAGGTCTATCATTTTGTTATCTGTTTCCTGTTTGTTCCCTCTGCTTTTCATTCCTGTTTTGCCTTTCCTTCCTTCTTTCAATTATTTTAACATTTTTTTTAGTATTCCATTTTAGTTTATTTCTTATGTTTTTCACTATATCTCTTTGCTTTCTTGTTTTTTGTTTTGTTTGTTTGTTGTTAGTGGATACTGTAGTGGTTATAGTGTACATACTTAACTTTTCACAGTCTGTCTAGAGGCAGTATTTTACCACTTCAAGCTGAATGTAGACACTTTACCACAATATAGGTCTCTTTACTTTCCCCTCTTTATGTTGTAGTTGTCTTATGTATTACATCTATATACACTGAAAATCCCATCAGACAGTGTTACGATTTTTGCTGTCAGTCATCAAACAGATTTTAAAGAATTTAAGAGCAAAATGGTCTACTTACCCACGTGTTTACCATTTCTGCTGCTTTTTCTTCATTCCTGATGCTCCAAGTTTCCCTTAGATACTAAATCCTTTTTGTCTGAGAAACTTCCTTTAGTGATTCTTTTAAAGTATGTCTGCTGGCAATAAATTCTATTAATTTTCCTTCATCTGAAATGTATTTATTTTGCCTTCATTCCCAAAGGATATTTTTGCTAGATTTAGAATTCTAGGTTGAGAGTTCTTTTCTTTCAGTACTTTATATATAAAGTGCTATTTTGCCTCTATAGTTTCTGATGAAAAATCCACAGTTGTTGCAATTCTAATTAATGTATCATTTTTCTGTGACCACTTCCAAAATTTTTTGTTTGTCTTTAGTTTTCAGCAGTTTGATTATGGTGTATCTGTGCATGAGTTTCTTTTTTTTTTTTTTTTTTTTCTTTTTGGGATTTTCAGAGCTTCTTGAATTTGTAGGTTTATGTTTTTCACCAAACTTGTTGAGGCTCTGTTCATTTTTTTTTTCCAGTCTTTTTTCTCTCTGTTGTTCAGATTTGATAATTTGTATTGATATATCTTCAGAATCGTTGAATATTTCCTCTGTCATCTCCATTCTACTATTGAGTCCATCTAGTGAGTTGTTAATTTTGGCTATTATAGTTTTCAGTTTGAAAAATTCCATTTAGCTCTTCTTTATTATATTCTATTTTTTTTGCTGAGACTTTCTAGTTTTCCATTCATTGACTTGTTGAAGCTTTTTAAATAATAACTGCTTTAAAGTCTTTGTCTGCTAATTGCAATATCTGCATCATGTTAGCAGTGACATGAGTTGATTATCTTTTCTCATGTGAGCTGAGATTTTCCTGGCTCTTCTTGGGCTAATTTTTTATCCTGGACATTTTAAATATTGTTATGAGACTCTGGGTCTTATTTAAATCCTATGGTGAATGTAGGTATTTTTGTCTTAGTAGGCAATTGATTTAGTTGCGTTCAGGCCGCAAGTTCCAACCAACCTTCCCTGAGTTGTGTTTTCAAGGTCAGTTCTGTTTTCAAAACCTTTGCAGTGTTATTCAGCTCTGTCCTGCATGTGTGCCACTCAGTTGGGCTGTCTGGGACCTAGGCAGTGGTCTATCTCATCGTTCAGTTCACGTGTTTGGTATGCTGTGTAGGGTCATTCCATTCATGTGCCACTTGGGAGTGAGCCCACAAGTTCATAAACAACTTTATTTGGTTGCTTTCCTGAACTGCCCCTCTCTGCCATCTCCCTGGTAACTTCTGGTTCCTTGGGGTTCCTTTTTTAAAAAAAAAAGAATTACGTTTGTTGTTGTTAAGAATATACACAGCAGAACATACACACCAATTCAGCAGTTTCTACATGTACATTTCAGTGACATTGACTGCATTCTTCAAGTTGTGCAACCATT